GGCGTGTCTGTAATTGCTAGCACATGAGACACGTACTGTTAATTGCAGTGATGTGTAGGAGCCCCACCATAGCCCAGCAGACACATGGTGCCAGGCCCTGTTCAGAGGCAGAAAAACAGAGCAGTCTGTTCCCAAGAGACCTAACCATGATGCTTTTCTGCCTGAAAGGATACATTTGACATATTAAATCACCAAGGTAGGTTTACCTTGGCAAAATGTTCTTCCTGATGATGTGTTGATTAGCCTGTATTATCTAATGAGATCAGCCAACAATCCACATGGCTGACAAATGACAAATATGTTGATGAAGAGCTGAAAAAATTGGTATGCTTCAGGCCTCCTTAGCATCATTACAGAGCCAGAAAGAGCCAAGATAGAGAAGTATTTCCAGGCCACTGCAGTGAGAGCCATTGCTTCCTTACCTTTGAAGATCTCCAAACACGTGAAAGCTGTGTTGCTCCCCCTTCCTTTCTGAAACTGGGAACTTTGTGAAATTGCTAAATAAGAGACATTGTATGTTTTATATGACCCTTCCAGACCCTTGTCTTTCTCAGATGAGAACCTGAAACCTGCCCTTGGCTGCAGTGATCAGATTCTTTGTGCAGTCTTTTTTGCTGATTCGAGATATTCCTATTGTGGATCAGATGGGGTGAGAGACGCAGCGATGCGCCTTGTGATGGAGAAGAGGTGCACAGGGCACTAGCTCCCCAAGGTGCTTGCTTGAGGCTTGAAGAACACAACCTGCCTTCCCCAGTGCCCCACTAGAGGCTCATTAGCCCACAGTCCCGGCCAGAATTAGTTGTCTGTGCAGGAGCACAGAAGGGTGCAGCCAAAGTTGTATCTTTCCTGTGTTGTCCCACTTGCTACATGCCCAGTGCAACCAATTCCCATTTTGAGGTCCTGTTCCCCGTCATCCTGGGGCTAACAAGAAAATAGGAGTTGCTGTGCATGAGGCAAATCCAGCCACTGGGGCCTATGAATTACTAGGTGGAGTTGCTCCCACAGGCCAGAAAACATTCCCAGTCTTGCTGGAAAGCTCAGCAGGGTCTGATGAGGCATCCCTGGTACATCATGTCGTCTCTCTAAGGCTCCAAAGGACCTGGCTGCCAGCAGAGCAGCAGGGCATGTGGGTGCTCAGGAGTCAACCGAAAAGCGGTCTGAAAACTGTCGGGATCAGCCTGGCAGCCCACAGGTAGATCGCTTAGGCAGCTGTGGGCAAAATTTGATATTATTTAGATGCTTTTCTCCTCTTTTCATCATTTGGTGAAACTACTATTTCTTAGCAATCATCTATGAAGAGCGCCTGTACAATGGCATTTCTGTCTAGGCATGTTTCTTGTCTCTAGTATGTGAGAATAATGCTTTACCTTTGTTTCTAACACCACCCAGAAAATTAATGGCATATGAAATTGGAACATTAATAATTTTGCTTTTGCTCTGGGCCCAGTGCAGATAAAAAAAGAGAATGGCATTGTGTGGATGGATTATTTGGATCAACTTTTAATTTTGTTTGTTTTGCAGTCTGGTAGCCAGAAGAGCCAGCTTGTTTCTCTTTGGGTAATTATTAAATGAATTTTCCAGGTCTTCCATGCTCTGAAACCTCTCCCTCTTAGGGCCGTAGGCTCTGGGTGAAGGGAGAGCCTGCCTTAGTTAAGGAGATCTGAGCAGCTCCATGCTGCTGCCTCCGTGCTTCTTACGCTGCTCAGTGCTGGGCTTTCTGTGGGTGATAGAGCCTCTGCCCAGCTCTCCACATACATTCCCTACTGCGTACCTCCTGCTAGCCTTGGCTCAGCTCCCTCATTCCGCTGATGGAGGGCATCCTGCAGTGGAAAACCAAATCCTGGCCCTAGCACATGCACTTCTTTTGAAATGAAGGCAAACCATCTGGGCGTTATATTGTGAGAGCTGTGTATAAGTATAGCCCTTGTTTTACGTTCACATCTTTTCAGTAAGGCTGAGGAAGTCCTTATGTGGTTAGTGAGTGTGATTTGCTGAGTTAGGAGGAAAAATAAATGAAACATGCTGTGACCTGATGACTTACTGACCTCCTTCTGAAAACAAACAAACAAACAAATCAAAACCCAACAAGGGAACAAGTAAAGCAAGGGCGGTACAATTCCTGATGGCTGAAGCCCTTTGCAGAAATGTTTGAAGGTATAACATTTTCCTGTGTCTGTTCATCCATAGGCATGGAGGAGAGGCATAGGTTGAGGAGAATGAGGCCATCCTTGTTAATGTGTACCTGCCAATGCACACCCATGGCACCCTGTGTGCACACCTGCATCACCTGAGGCTGTTCAGGTCCCGCCATTTCTTTACATGCTCCTTCTGTCCCTCCAGTTTAGAGTGGGATTACTTACTCACTGGTCTGCAGTACTTGTGGGTACAGGAGTCTTTTCTGTTCTCTGAATCATGAGTAATAATAGAGAAAACAAACACCAAGAGAAGTTCCTCAGGATGCTGATCATGCTGTTTAGGAATACACCGCCTCTTGAGACGCAGGCTTAGCCTTCCAATGCAGAGAAGCCAAAAGAGAGTGGTAATGTAGTCACAGAGCAGAGAAGAAACCAAGGATCAGCTATTAGGGACTCTCAACTGGCTAATGAGGTCCATGACTTACAGTTTAAGTAGATGGAATTTTAATCATTTCATTCCTGGTCACAGCCCCTGAACTGCATCCTTGATCTCCATATTCTCTTTTCTCCTGTTGTGCTCAAGTGCATCTTAAAATGCAGCTCAATTAATCTGGTGAAAATTGGAATAAAGTAAAATTTATGGTTTTAAAAAGTAACCAATTTGACACACAATAAGCAGCTAGCTTGTCAAACTTAACAATAAAATGTTGTTAAGACATCAGCGTGGAAAAGAGACTGTGTATTAAGTTTCTGACAGCTGGATTCATGTTTTCAGCTTTCAGAAACTCAATAGCTTTATAAAAAGCATTATAATTTCTGTAGAACAAAGAAATACTGCTTCAGTGCTCATCTGTGCCAACAAAGAGTGATTTTCAATGCTTTCTCTCAATTCCTTAAAAAGATTTTCTTTCCTTTCAAGAAAGCACTAGATTTTGAATAAACATTATGCTAGACAGAGCTACTAGCAGACCAGTAAAAAAACCACACGTTTTCTAGAGCTGAGCTAAATTTCTTAAAATTAGGAATTTATTAAAACTTTAAAATTGCACTCCTTGTCCTGAAATTATTCACAGTGTGATGCTAATTCACTGAAAACCTTAGTTTGAAAATATTTGGTGGCTGAGTTACAATGGTGGTGACGGTGTGGTTATGTCCCACTTTTATCTGATTCCTTAATGTTTAGAGCATTTGCCCAGGACTGAGGAAAACTCTGGCTGAGGGAGATTAAACCCAAGTACGTAAAAGCACTATGTTGGGGTGGAGCTTCTCCAGTACCTACTGCTGATCCTGTTCTCCTCTGAGTAAACTAGCTGTAAACTAGCTTCCTCTGTGTAAACTAGGCCCCTAGGAGAGGGACAAACCTGCTGATGAGGTTCAGAGGGTCCCCTCTCTGCTGATGATGGTTTTGGTATCAATACACAAGGTGCAGTAACTCTTACAGGAAGGGCTGCAGAAGGACTTATCTCAAAATGCTCCCTAACCCATCACCTCGGGTACTTGCATGGACTGGAGTAGGCCCAGGGCAGAGTTCACTTTCTGCTAGGGTCCCAGTTGTTCAAGTTTAATTGTCCATACAGTTAATTGTGCGTACAAACTGGAACAGTCTGTTCCCACCATGGCTGATGCTCTGGTAAATAATGACCTGGGAAGTGGCAATGGGGGTTTTGTTCTCTCTGGCACAAGGGGAGATGAACCTAGAACTATCACAACTTGGGCAATTTCTCCAAGCACTGAGAATCTCTGCTGATATTTTGTAGTTCATTGCTAAGCTGTAGAAGAAACTCCATTTTAGTTTTGTTTCTTTTTCTTATGAATACTCTCAAATGGAATATATCAATTTGTGTTGAATGGAAGGTCTCAGGTCAAGTTTACAGTATTTCAACATGCCTGTAAAATCCTTTGATTTGGATTTGATGGATTTGAAAGAATCTGTCTCAACCTTTTTGAAGATGATGAGACTGACACATTTAATTCAATTTGATCTGAACTGATGGCCTCAAACTATTATGGTTCAGATATTGAACACTGAAAAATCACTCTGTCATAGGACCGTATCAGTTCCTTTCTATCCATTCAGCAGAATGGAAATGTCTGCCAAGTCCATTACCGATTTGGAGATACTCTTATGTCTTCAGCCAGTAGTTTTTGTAGAGGGGTGCAGTGTTGCGCTGACACTGGCATTTATACATGTATTGTGGAACCCTGCATCTCAGTTGAAGAGTGTAATCTACCAACGCCTGCCCAAATTGGATGTTTCCTCAGTAATCAAGCAGTTTTCATGTAAGTCATTTTGCAATACTAGTATTTTCAGCTCTGTAGACAAATGGTATGTGAGAGACAGGACTCTGTAATTTAGCAGAGAGCAGTAGTGGGTGAGATTTTCTGTGAATTGCATGTACAGTGTGATTATGTATGTAGGGGATCCCATCTTTCATTTAATTTTTCAAAGACAGAATGAAAAGTTGACATTGTTATTTTGATTAGACTACATAAATATTTATTCTGCTCCAATTAAAAGAACAAGTCAACTACAGCATGTTTGACTGGGTTGACTTTTATTCTTTCTGCTCAAATGCTTTCTGAAGGAACCATAAATATCAGTGCTCCTTTCTTTCTCTTCCTTTATCCCAGTCCAATCTCTTCCTAACACTGTTGATCTGCACATTGTACATTGTAGCTCATCACAGTGAATCTCAGCTGTAGGAAGTGAAAAAAATAATTACTGTGCCTTTTAAATCTGAACAGAATAGGCATTTTGGGTATTGCAGTTTTCTGGGGTGCTTATGGGAATATTTTGTTAATAAACAGTTATATTATGCTAAGCATATGAATGTTCCACTAAACTTTGACTCCTTCTTTTAACAGGCTGTGAAAGAAGAGACCTCTTTTGTAAATCCCAGTAAGACCTCCAGCCTGCAGGATCCTAATGTAAGGTCTGTTGCTTCTTGTCCGTAGGGAAAACATCGAATAAATGCATGATATAGTGAGACATTTTCCAAATATTATCTCAAACAGCTGTTACAGGTCAGTTTGCTTACCCCCAAGCTGCCGTGTAACATTCACAAAGCAATGACCTGCGGAGAGGGTGTCTGTCGGAAAAGCGCTTATTTTATGCACATATATCAGATATAGTTGAAGAATTAATGAAAGCTGAACTTTAAATATCAGACCAAGTGTATATACTTAAAAAATTAATAAAAGCTCAAGGTAAAAAATCATGTCTAGTGACAAACTTAGAAAAGCTTATATAAAAAGAAGTCCATTTTCATAACTTTTGTATCAGAAATGTGCTAGATGTCCAAGCTGGAATATCGCTGTGTTTGTTCTTCTGATTTGTGCAAGCGTTCTACAGCCTTCAGAAAAATGTCTGAATTGCAGGCAGCAGCAACTACCTTGGATTGTACTTTTGTTCAGTTAATAATCGATAGTGGTCTTCCTTTTTGGGGGTGGCCATTTTGAAGAGGCATATTAATTGTAAACGTCTTTCAGCAGGTGATTAGACAGGAGGTTACACCATGGGTATTTTGAAACTGCTGCCTCTATATGTATGCTAGTGCCATCACTTTGGACATCTTCACTGTCCAAATCTGAGAGGATAGTTTGGTGAAAAAAAATTATTAATTTAAAGCATGTCAATCACACTGACTATTAATCAGCTAATTATGCTAGTGTATATACTGTATATGTGTTTATGTATATGTAATATACATGTGTAGTAGAGCACTAGTCATCTTGTGATTTTGTTTTAGAACTTTCTGGTGCTGACTCTTGAAACTGAGAGCGGGCCTTTAAGCACCTTATGGAAAAGGCTGGATGAGGGGGAAATTAATTATGCTGGAGAAACTCAAAAAGAAACAGTTATCGTTGTGAAAATTTGTCAACCTTTTTTTCAAATGTATGTCTTTCCCATAAGGTGATAAATCAGCAACAGAGTTCAAAAACCGTTTCATTCCAAGATTCCTTTCTGATTGGACCAGCAAAGCTGCTGTCTTTTCTTAGTGAAAGCAGCTACCTAGAGAAGAACGGTGAGGATGGTTGGTGCTGCTGAGGCAGGAGGAGACACGAGAGGCAATGCTACTGCTTTCGGTGACAGTCCCTGGCTTGCCTGCAGTACAGCTGTGATTCCCAGTTCCCCACATGTGTCTCATCTCAGGACAGCCTGCAGAGCCATAACTGCTAGCCTGGCAGGCTGTGATTTTCCTATTTGTTTGTCCAAGGGGCTGCAAAGTCTACTTGATATTTAGAATCACCCACTTTTCTCCTGTGCCATTACCTTTGTTAGAATTCTACAAAACTTTCTTAGGACCACTGAGAAAATTCATCATGTATGTTACACAGTGACCTAGTTCTCCATTTAATAGAAATGGGTTTCATATATTGTCTTTGCCACAACACCCTTTGTTGGGTTGCTGTCACTTCCAGAAGCAGTTCAGGAGGACCTGGTTTGTAAAGCCCTGTGCGATTTGGAACGTGGCTAAAGAGCTGTTTTGCTTACTCACCTTTGCTGAACTTCTTAATAACATCTGTAGAAAAGCCTTTTCACATTTTATAATAGATTCTCTCCTTCTTCATCATGCTGAGCTGTAATTGAGTTGCATGCTTTGTGAGGTGAAGTACTATACAGCATGAGTAAGGATGGCAACCTGGCTGCAAATTTAATTTTATTGTTTTCTTTTGCACACATCCAAGCTTATAAACTCGTAAAAGCCACTTCGGAGTTCTCACTATGCAGCAGGCTGGTGTATATTTGTCTAATATTTATTTTTATCTGGTTTATGTCAAGCATTGTTTCCTCTACAGTCAGTTGTGCTGAACGAAATGGCATTGTTTTATTGCTTTGTGTCTGTGTCCTGGAGGTGCAAATATACAAGTAATCAATGCTCAGGGATAGACCAATTTTAACAGCCTGCATTCAAAACTTAGAGAATAATGCAAAATAAATTCAGTGTCTAACCAATTCTTTTTCTCCTTCAAGTGGCTTCCCTTTCTGCAGCGACGTATGCACCCTTGCAGACAGCCAGCATGTAACCTATTTGCCAATAACGTCTTTTATAACCTCTGTTCTGTGGACTTGGGTGGACATAAATGAGCCTTTGCTCACCTAAGAGTTGCATCTGAGTAGGGCCAAGGGTTAGTTCATACTGGTCAGTCAAGTGATCTGGGAGTTTTTCTCTTCTTTAGTTCAGAAGTACACAAGTATCCTTTGTGAAAAAGCCCTCCACATGGAATATAATTTTAGTTCCTGCAAGTATCCATGCAGACATTCCTGTAGACAACACCTGTGTGAACGTTTGAGGAATGTTTGTTTGCCGAAATATCTTGCCAGTTGAAACCAGTATCTGTCAAGCTATTTAACAATACTCCACTCTTTTCATGCAAGGGATTTATAGCAGGGACAGTGACTTCATGTACATCATGATTACTGATGACTGTACAATGCGCTAGCAAAATGCTCTGCTTTTCCAAACCAAATACACTGGGAAATTTGTTCAGGCTAGCTAGTAAGCAAACATACGCAGTTTTGATCATTAACTGAAGCATGAATTCTTCATACAAATAGAGAAATAAAAGGTGAGGACAGAGGGCAGTAGTGCTTGTTTGATTAAAGAACTGTGATCTCTTTGCTACCATTTTGACTGCTCGTCCATTGCCACGCTGAAGATTACACTTCTAATGAATTAACTGCTTGGATATGGCTTGTAATCCCCCTGAGCAATTATTTTAGCATCTGCACAGCAGACTCAATTTGGCTGACAATTGCTATAGCTCTTTGTAGAATTAGTTCTGGTTCAACTAGTAATTACTCATATGTATGTGTGGTATAGCCATTTTTGCTACAAGCAGGTCTCCAGTCATTTTGTTGGGCATGGCCTTGGAATAATATTGTGCAAAGTCGTCATGTACTCGTCAGTTTATTCACCTGTTTTCTGTGTCTGTTGGCAAACTGTGGATCCTTCTATAGCTAAGTAATTTTAAATGTGGGAAAAAAAACACAGCTGAAACTGAAATTGCACTATTTTTTCAGCTTTTGGGAGGGGAAAGCTCGTGAAATTTGCTCTGTCATTTGGTGCACAGGCTGGAAGTGCAAGGCTGTCTCCTGATCTTGCTGTTAATAGCTAACCTGTAGATTAAGCTGCAGGAGGATATGTGACCACAGAAGGGTGCAGTCCTCTCTCCTCGCTGCTTTTGGAGAGCAGTGCTGTTTGTCTCTAAAGCTTCCCTCCTCCGGATAGGATTTTTTTTTTTTTCTCCCAGACTGTTTCAAGTGCTGGTTCCCACAGTCAGTGAGGAAAAAGCTAATGACTCCGTAACTGAATACATGCTGCAGTGTCCTAGCTTATACTCTCCTTATTCTGCAGTTAAGACCGATATGGTACACTATGAATTGGGACACAGTCATACATTCCCCTTGCTGACCCTGCTGCTTTGCTGATAACCCCTAGCAGAGCAGCAGATCTGGACAGTGGCAGTAAGGCAAGCTGTGCAGTTACCTCGGCTGGACCCTTCTGGGCTGTGCATGACAGAGCTCTCAGCTGAACAAAGTCAAATGACAGCAACTGACAGCAGGCAAATTTCAAAAGTGGGTCAAAGAGGAGAGCCACAAGTTGGCTTGATAAGACACAGAAGTCCTACCAAGAAGAGTTAGATGTGTCTTTATTACAGCTCTGTTGTAACAGACTTGAAAGCACACACGTTTTCATCAGCGCCCAAGTAATACATACAAAGAAGTATAGCCCGGCTATATAGCTGGGGCATAAGCGTTTTGTACAAGGCAGAACATAATTTTGGTTTATGGAAGAAGAAATACCTGAAAAAATGGGTTATTTGTGTATTTGCGTTATTTTGGTTTTTATACTGCCTGTATTGAATCAAGATGAGATACAGTTAGTTTGCAGTTACCACTTTGCGTAGTGAGGCATGATTTGTTAAGGCCTGTAGTGAAAGTGTGTTGGTGTGAACATTGCTCTAGCTTGGAATTGGCAATGCCAGCCACTTTGCAATGATTTTTAATGTCACTTCTTTGGGGATGTGGGGCCCAAGTCTGCAAAGGAGGCGGTGATCATGTCAGTCCCTTTTATGACCAGCAAGAGGAACTGATCTACCACTAGAGCTAGAAAAGCCTTTCTAACAGAACATTTTCTTCTTTAGTGTTGTTAGTGGAGGACCAGAAGGGATTATGGGGAAGGAACAGAGGTATTTCCCTGTCTGTCAGAAAATTCCTTACACTCAGGTATCTATCTTGGTGTCCACATGGAAGTGTCAAGGGAGAAGTGTTCAGGGAAAAATTCACTGGTTAGATATCTAATTTAATTCAGGTTTGAGATTACTGCGGGTTCTTATATACAGTTTTGCTAAGGCTCTCATCACCTGCCTCCAACGGGATTTTTTTATTTGATTCTCTTAGTCCTGAGAGATCAGGGAAATAGAAAAATGAAAGTTGTAGTCACCCGGTTTGTTATCACCTCTAGTAACTCCCTCCTCTTGATCAGAGGCCCGGCCCGTCTAGTGATCAGAGATACAGAGGTTTCTCTCCTGCAGCTTATCAAGCAAATGTGAATCACCTCTTCAGCTTTTTATAAACCTCACCCATTTCTTGGTAAAGGGATGGGCTGCTAGAAAGATAACGTCTTGAACTTTCTTTCCAGAAGTTTCTCACCTAATTTCCACCCTGCTTCATTTGTTAAATGTAACAAATATATAGCTAACCACAGAACCACATCAATAGAATTCCTTCCATTATTCCTTTCCTTATTCAAAGCTTTGCCAGACAGAAGCACCATCTGTACAACTTCCCCATGAACCTCTTCCTTACATGAAGCTCTCCTGAAAACTCATTGAAGTATCTTTTTTCTCTCTGGATATGACTGCCTGGGTAAGCCTATAGTGTGTATATGTGTGTGCATTTGCACACAGATTCACACACATGGAGTCT